GGCCGTTTGAAAATCAAAACCACAGACGCCCGCACGAATTGCACGTGACCCGCGCCCGAACCGATACAACAGCACGCGTGCACGCGCGTACGTCGATCGTCGTGCACCGAATCCGCGCCCGCGGTAGCCGCTCCGTGTTATTGAAAAACAACAATAAAAAATATCGTGCCGCGTGACGGCGGGACGCGCATTGTATTACCGCGTGACGGGCGCGAGCGCGCGTACGCGTAGCCGGGCGCTAGGCACGGCGCGCGGCGCCGCGGTAGCGGACCGGCCGTGTGTAATTCGTAGTGGAATGCGTACGCGCCGCGTGCAAACGCCGGGAACGGCCGGCTACCGATCGCGGGGGTGGAGGGAAAACGTCACGCAATTAAAAATTATGAGAAAAAAAAAAAATCGATCCGCGCACCGCGCGGCAACAACTGCGCGATACACGAAATATTCCGTTGCGTCGGATCAATCAATACGCGCGCGCGGCGGCGGCGGCGGCGGCGGCGGACGTCGCAACAATATCAATTTGAAACGATGACCGATCAGATTGTTACCCGGGTGGGAGGTGGTGGAGGAGCAGGAGGAGGAGGAGCAGGAGGAGGAACGGTAGCGGCCCGACGATACGGCGACCACGCTGCCGGTCCGCGTAGCAATAGTAACAACGATAATAATTATAATAATAACAATAACGACGACGATGACGGTGATGATAACGTTATCGCGCGCATTCGAAAACCCGGTTTAACGCGAGCGCGCGCGCGGGCAGAGTTGTGCTCGTCGGGAGATGGAGAAAAAAAAAAAATGAAATAAAAATAAATACGCGCGCGCGCGCGATAATTGCTGTTGCGACGCCGTTCCGACGCGATACGCGTTTTCCCCGCCCGCACGCCCGTCCGTCCGCGCACGGACGCCGCGATGTTTTATTGTTACGCCGTTCGGAATGATATTGGCCGCGCGCGACGAGGCCCGGAGCCCGCGTCGCGTACAGCCGCGGCGCGCGCGTTTCGCCGTCTCCGTTCCGACGCCGCGCGAAAACGCGCGCGCCACGCACCGCATGCCCGAGCGCCGATAGCGTGCCGCCGCTGCGCGGACGTTCTCGCGCGCCCTTCGCGGCCGGTATTTCAAACGGGTTTTCTTTCTCTTATTTGTTCTTGGATCCGGCGATTGGGCCGCATGCGAGTTCGAACGCGTTCCGGATCCGACAATACGGACACGGCAATTTCACACCGAATCGTTATTTTTTCCACGGTTACAGATTCAATTCTCTCAACGTCCGTTACGATCGATTCGCGTTTAACGGCGATTTCGAATACCGCGCGAAACAATATCCGTATATCACATTATTTATAAAAAAAAAAAAAATGAATAACTAATTTTATATTATATTTTATATTAGACGCATATTCGTATACATTTAAAATTGTTCATTTTTCCGTATACATTTGTGGCCCGATCTCCGGGTAATAAAATGTAGAAAATTATTATTCACGAAGCAGGTAGATTTTTTTTTTTTTTTTTAGGCAATATGGAATTTATAAATGATATTTAGTGATTAAACGATCATCGAATGAATAATTACAATCAACAAACATTTCTTGGACTCGTTATCGTTTTCCACGATGTCCGTATGCAAATTACGGACCGTGTTAGTATTTCATACGTCCGTGGTTACGGAATAATATCTTTATCACGGTGCTGGTTTAATAATCAGCCTAGTTCATGGATACTTAATTGATATAAACAATATATTAATCTCTATGACACTACCATCGAACATCGATGAAAGTTGTTTCCCGGGTGTTTTGTCGCTGTTATCGACCGTTGTTAGCGAAAAGTGTAATACGTAATGATTAGAAACGTCTTAATGGATTAATGTGGTTGGCCGTCCATAAAAAAGTCCCGATTGATCCCGGAGAAGTTCTTGATGTACTGACTCAAAAATCAAGAGAAATTGATATCATTTTTGTAAATTCAATTATATGTTGTTTTTATATATGAAAGGGTTTTGGGGGGCTTAGCCCTTACGGCTCACTTTTTAGTACATTTTACGTACCCCCCATCCCTAATAAAAAATCCCGAAAACGTCTCTGGCTATCAGTTTTGTAAATATCAGAAACGGACCGGCTTTTCGGCTATTGTCGACCCGTTGTAAATGGAACATAATGGCGAGGACATGTTTTCATCTGCACGCGATTGTACGTTGATTTTTTTGTAAGAAAAAAAAAAAAAAAAAAGGAAAAAAAAAATGAATCCGGAAAAAGCGTTACACGGCACGGACGTTATTCCCGCGGACCCTTCGACAAGTGCGTTCGCGATTATTATCGCGCGGCGGTAACCGGGGAACGGGCGAACGGCGCGGACGCGGAAAGTCCAGTTGCCGGACGGTCGTAGGAACCCCGGCGGCGGAACGTTTGAGCGGCGTTACCGTGTTTCGCGCGGCCGCGATGCATTTGTAACGCGTGGAATTTTTTTGTTTTTTTTTTTTTTTCTGTTGTTTTCTTCGCCCCGCGCCGCCGTCGCGTAACACGCGGCATTACGTCATTGCGCCCGCGCGCGATTTTCTCATCGCGAGCGTATAAAACCGCGTGTAATTGTAGCGCCGTGACGGTTCTTCCGGCGGCGGCGGACGTAGACGACAGGACGATACATATATACTTGTATATGTGTGTTATTATTGTTTTTATTATTTTTATTTATTTTTTATCATTATTATTACCGTCCTTTCGCCCGCCGCCGCCGCCTTTCGCGCCCCGCCGTGTCGTTCGTCGCCGCCCGAACGTTAATATACGAATAATTATAAAAGAATATTAATAATAATAATAATAAAAGAACCCGAACGGCAATTCCGTGACTGCAACGCGGAGTCTAATTTAACGTCGCGGCGGCACACGCGGGACGACGGCGACGAAGAATTAAAATTCCAGTTTACAGAAAAAAAAATCGAACGCGCGCGCGCGCGTACGCCCGGTGCGTTATAACGACGGTATTATGTGCCGTTTGATTTAATATTGATATTACATAGTAACTTTCCCATGCCTATTTATATATAATTAATATACAGGGTGACTTTCGTACCGTGATCCGGCCGCTGTGCGTCTAAGCGCTCGCGAAAAGGGGCGCTCCGGAATTTGTCAAGTTTTAAATTACACTGTTTGCGCGTCAATTCCGCGGGACTGTCCGTGCCCCGTTCGATTAGTGGCGCTGAAATTTGTCCGTCTATACTTTTCGTCATCACGCAAACAGCGGCGCCGAACCCATGACCCAAGAGGGGCGACCCACCACCACCCCGCCGCCAATCAAACCCTATTTTTCCGGTGGGTGGTCGTCGGACGGTCACGACGATGCGGCTGCCATTAAAATATTTCGAAGAGCACACGTTTGTGATAAAAAATTTAATTTCAGCCTTGACCATTGATATACACGCAATTTAATACATTCAGGTACTGTGATAAGTCATTTTTAAAGTAGTTATGTATTGTTTACACGCCTAATACAAATATCAATTTATATTGATACAAAATATTTGTTATACTGCAATTAGTAATTTACGTTTAAAACAAGAGTCACGAATTTTAAACGTTTTATTAAGAACGGAAGAGGCGTTTGTCCCCCTCGTATCTTCCGCGGATGGTAGGTGTACAAAAAAATACTGCCCCCTCACATTAATTTAAGTTCGGCGCCACTGCACGCAAACATCACGCGTGTTTAGACACAAGCCAACATATTTAAATTCGTTGGTACAAAAGGGTATAGATAAGTCAATAATCAGTATACATAGTACGTTCCATCTTTTGAATACGTATAACGTTTGACTTTACCCTTTTTCACGAACACGCTGCCCATCCATATATTATACGAACATTTTGAATGAATTAGATTTCTGGTTTTTTTTTTTTCAAATCACTATTATGTGGAATCGATAGAGCTATTCCCTCATCACAGTAAAAAGCTTTACCGGATTTTACTGGTTTTTTATACCCAATTCGTGTCTATCAAAATCTTACCAGTGTAATGTATTATTTTAACTGTCCCGAGAACATTAGTATTTTGATTCAATTTAATATACGCCGGAAATAGTCTCCCATCGCGAAACATTTTGATCTTCGCTGGAATATCCAATTTCGGTCTCAAATCACCACTCGCTATTAACCGTCTAGAATTATAAATGTCTAAAGATGATCGGCGATTCTAAAAAGGCGATTGCTATATTACCATCCCGAGAATTATCCCTGATGTGCTGCGGGTGGTAATTTTAACATTATTTTCAAATTTGTTCACCCCGGCTACTCCTTGTACACTTAATCAAATAGAATTTTTGATTTTTAAACGAAACTTGCCCCTGCCCTCTATTTTCAACAGGGATTTGAAAAAGGAATACAATCGGATATAATATCTGGATGTACGATATTTATAAAAGTTTAAAATAGAAAACATAAAAAATCCCCAAAGGGTGATAAATTTCGTGTACGGTTTTTATATGATCGCCCTCTAATATGTAATCCTATTAGTCTTCGAGTATAATCTTTAGACTCATAAAACTAGTAAACAGTAAATCCAATATTCCAACGTAAGTGTTATGCATATTGAGACTGTTTTCTGATTTTGCAGGTATCGTAAATTAGATCGAAAATTTGCTGTTTCGATTAAAATAGCCGTGGATTATAGCCGGATCGTGATTAATATAACACCCTGTATACGCTTTGAAACGTAGGCTGCCACGGGCGATCTAATTGAAAATAAAGAGTCAGAGCATCGGTTATAATAACAATAATACGACTAATAAAATATATGTAAAACAATCCCGGTAAACGAATTGAATATAATATTTATTAAAATATAACAAAAAATTTTATAATATCAGTTTACATAGTATTGTGTATTAATATAGTACGCGCCGTATATTATGGCAATAATTATTATTGAATCTAGGGATGGCGGATAATATACGATTGTTTACGAAGAAAAACGTAAATTGTAATAAATTATATAAGTAATCGGTTTCGAAATCGTCATGCAAACACCCTCTTCAAACGTCTCGAAGTGTGGGCTCCATATGAACCGAGTACAGCCTGATCCGATTGAAACTTATCGGGGATGTTACCTGAAATAGAAATTAATGTCGGTTGTAGTTAAATTTATGGATAATGTGTGTCATATAATTGAATTATACTTTTATACAATTCACAAAATCTACAAAAAAAAAAAATTAATAAATTAAAAATGCAAAATTTTTCTTTTTTTTTATCGCAAATATACGAAATAAAATACGGCAATACTATTTCCATATGCAAAAATACCCGTCACTCTGAAATTAACTACAAATTACACCACAATATATTTTATCACTTAATATTGGGAAAAATGGTTTTACCGATGACTTTAAAATATAATATTATAATTATAACTTACTGGCGCATGTCTTGTAAATATAAGATCTCTGTGCGTCGGTGCCCCACTTTCTCCTTGTATTCAGGGAAACTGCTGCCATACTTATCTGATTTTTCTGAACGAAATCGTTCAATTTTTTTGTAATGGGAGAGCAATCTGATATAAAAATTATTGTTAGTTGTTATAAAATATATAGATAATGTTTTTTTAAAAATTAAATCCTAAATTCCTCAAAAATAAATAATAAAATTTAAAATGCACAATTTTTGTTTTTTTGTACCAATTATACTAAATGCATCACGGGGATAATATTTCAATATAAAATCATACCGGTTACGCGAAAAGTGACTTCAAAATACGCCACTGAATATAATAAAACATTATGTAAAGGAAAAGGATTGTCCGAAGACCCTATATTATTAATTATAATAGAAAATAAATTACCCGTGCATGTTCCTTTAACATTCGAGTTTTGTGCCTCGATGCACCATTTTTGACATACTTTGCAACAGAATGTTGCAGTATTTATCTGATTTTTTGGGGTGATCTCATGCTTTTTTTCCGTATGTGGGCAACAGTCTGAAATAGAATAGATTGCGGTGTATTGATGCATTGATGTTTATGTTTGTATTTAATCAATGACGCCACTTAATAATAAATCACTTTATACGATGGATCATGTTTTCTCGATGTTTCTTTGTTATCATACATTAAAGTTATAACTTACCAATACATGATCCAAATACATTCGACTTCTGTTTGTCACTACACCATTTTTCACATTTTTCGCAGCAAAATGTTGCGTCACTTATTTCATTTTTTTCTATGGCGTCATTCAACTTTTTCGTGTAAGGACAGCAATCTGAAATAGATAATAGTAATAGTTTTGTCATATGTTGGTGTACTTATATTATAGATGGAATACTTAAGAGGGAGAATCGCAGAGAGGGAAATATATCTTCTCCTTGACGTTTTTTTAGTTTTATCTAGCTATCAAATAAGATATAACTACTTATATTTAAATTTATGTTTCATTAATTATAGATAGACATAAAATGTATTGTTTAAAACGAAACTAATCCAAATCACTGTTCTTTTAATGGGTTTTACGTTAGTTATTAAGTAGTACNATCCAAATTTTACAATTTATGGGTGTTCCAATGTCATTATTCAGTAGACTATCTACTGTATACTTAACCTATGACGCCACTTAATAATAAAACACTTAATACGAAGGATTATGTTATCTCGATGTTTCTATGTTATCAAATATTATAGTTATAACTTACCAATACATGATCCATATACATTCGACTTCTGTTTGTCACTACACCATTTTTCACATTTTTCGCAGCAAAATGTTGCGTCACTTATTTCATTTTTTTCTATGGCGTCATTCAACTTTTTCGTGTAAGGACAGCAATCTGAAATAGATAATAGTAATAGTTTTGTCATATGTTGGTGTACTTATATTATAGATGGAATACTTAAGAGGGAGCATCGCAGAGAGGGAAATATATCTTCTCGTTGACGTTTTTTTAGTTTTACCTAGCTATCAAATAAGATATAACTACTTATATTTAAATTTATGTTTCATTAATTATAGATAGACATAAAATGTATTGTTTAAAACGAAACTAATCCAAATCACTGTTCTTTTAATGGGTTTTACGTTAGTTATTAAGTAGTACGAAAATTAATAATGTTTGGTCATATTGTTTAATAAATTTCTTACAAGATTATGTTTCTTTCTAAAAATATTTAATTTTTATTTTTTTACTACAATTATATGAAATACAATGCAGCAAAACTATTTCTACACTGTGTTGTACTTGTCTAGCCTAAATAAANAATTTTTCCGGTTTGTGTGTATAATATGTTTAAAAAAGGACGTACCCTTGCAGATTTTAAACACTTTTGATTGTTCGATCGCAGGTAGCCAGTTTTTGCATGCTCTACACGAAAACATACCCTTTCTGAAATTGTAAAGACGTGATGTTTAATCAGTTAGGCGTGTTTGCTCATACAAAGTTTAAATTAGATACTTACGTCTTATTAGAGCTTGAGTCCTTTATTGATGTAGATAATGTCTGATTATCCTGTGCGTTACCGTCCAATTTTAATGAGGGTGGGCAGCAATCTGAAATAGAAAAAATTGCGTGTAGTNCAGATTTTAAACACTTTTGATTGTTCGACCGCAGGTAGCCAGTTTTTGCATGCTCTACACGAAAACATACCCTTCCTGAAATTGTATAGACGTGATGTTAAATCAGTTAGGCGTGTTTGCGCATACGAAAGTTTAAATTAGATACATACGCCTTATTGGAGCCTGAGTCCTTTATTGATGTAGATAATGTCTGATTATCTTGTGCGTTACCGTCCAATTTTAATGAGGGTGGGCAGCAATCTGAAATAGAAAAAATTGCGTGTAGTTGTAAAGTTAATGAATAAACTCCTCAAAAATATATAATAAAATTTAAAATGCACAAATTTCCGATTTTTTGTACCAAATATACTAAATACATCACAGCGATAATATTTCAATATTAAATCATTCCGGTTGCCCGAAAAGCGACTTCAAAATACGCCACTGAATATAATAAATCCATATGTAAAGGAAAAGGATTGCCCGAAAACCTTATATTATTAATTACAATAGAAAATAACTTACCCGTGCATGTTCCATTAACATTCGAGTTTTGTGCCTCGATACACCATTTTTGACATACTTTGCAACAGAATGTTGCAGTATTTATCTGATTTTTTGTGGCGATCTCATACGTTTTTTCCGTATGCGGGCAGCAGTCTGAAATAGAATAGATTGTGGTGCATTGATGCATTGATGTTTATGTTTGTATTTAATCTATGACGCCACTTAATAATATATCACTTTGTACGATGGATCATGTTTTCTCGATGTTTGTATGTTATCATATATTAAAGTTATAACTTACCAATACATGATCCATATACATTCGACTTCTGTTTGTCACTNTCACTTATTTCATTTTTTTCTATGGCGTCATTCAACTTTTTCGTGTAAGGACAGCAATCTGAGATATATAATAGTAATAGTTATGTCATATATTGGTGTACTTATATTATATGTGGAACAATTAAGAGGGAAAATCGCAGAGAGGGATATATATCTTCTCGTTGACGTTTTTTTAGTTTTATCTAGCTATCAAATAGAATATAACTACTTATATTTAAATGTAAGTTTCATTACTTTTAAACCAGACACTACACAATGTATGTTTTTTTTTTATCTATTTATTTTAGTATAATATTAAGAAATTCTGATCGTTGATAGGTATAAGTATTTCGGTTTATAACGAAACTAACCCAAATCACTGTTCTTTTAATGGGTTTTACGTTAGTTATTAAGTANGAAAATAATTTTTTTACTGTAATTTACAACTGCTTTTTAATTTCGTACTTGTATTATATCCAAAATCAGTTACTTATACGTAATTTTAAAGTCGAATCAGCAAACTACATCTCCGATGTGTTTCAAAACGAACATTGTGCATGAAGGAATTATCTTTATCAGTAACACTATTCCTAATTGTTATCAACGATATTTCCAAACATACCAAAGCCTATCATACCTTTTCTAAATACGGATGACCTATCTATCCTATGTCGCAGTTACAATCACCAATTGTTTAACTTTTTTAAAAGACACTAAAAATTAGTTATATAAATTGGTCACATAAATCAGGCTTCAGATTTTTTGCTAAAATTATCAAACTTATCATTTTTAGTAATTAAACGAAATATTTTAGTACAATTTTTTTTAACATCGATAATTATGTAATCAAAAATAACATAAATACTATGGTTCTCAGAATATCATTTGATGCCAAAGGCTACCTTACATTCTTCATCTAGAACAATTTTGTCATAACAGACTTTATATTATTGTAACTTTATCTCACACCATTTTAGGAGCTCGGTCTTCTGTACTTAAAAAAATTTACAAACCACTTATGTTGTCCAAACTAGACTATTGGTTAGCCTTATTCTCCTCGGCTAAATACATTCACGTTAACAAACTCGAAAATTTTCATAACACAGGAATGTGACTATCAATACGAGCCTTCCGATCCAGTCCCATTGTCAGTATACGGGACACACGGAAAGGGGGATTCGAAATATGGGATAAAAGTTTTTAGAACATTTGGTCGGGATACCGTGACGCTTGTCTCAAATATGGGATAACAAGTATAATACGGGACGTTTGGGATCCCTATTGTAAATCCATTTTTATAATTTTCTAACAAAATTAAATAGTTATCCTTCAATTATGTTATTTTAACTGTGGAAAAATTCCTAGAGGTCTTCCGAATTTTAAACTATACCGTTTTCCCTTAAAATGTTAACATGTCTTCTAGACAATGGATCCGCAAATCAGTTAAAATGAAAAATATAAAAAAAAATGAATTTTCAAAAAATGTAGGTACGTTTCTGTATTTGAAAGTGTTTGTTAAAACTCTCGCATTTTTTGAAAATATACAAAAAACTAAATTATAATTGATTTTTCAAAAAATGTTAGAACTGTGTAAAAATAAAAATAAAGAATATTATTATATAACAGTAAATAAAAATATCAAAAAATGAATTTCTTAAAACACTACCTACCTATTTTAAATTCTAAACGAAGTGAGGAATATACCTATTGCTTTTACAATTATGTTTATTTTTCTCTGTTAACAACTTCTCTGCTAGAAGTCTTCCTCCAATTTTCAAGTAGAGCCTTTTTTTTGAACGAAAATCTGCATATGGTAATATTTTAAGGGTGATATTTTTATTTTCTCAGAAGTTTTTTCCAATAAATAAGAAAAAATAACGTCCTAGGAAATTGGGGCGGGTGCAGCCGCTGTTTATAGGTAATTTAATATATACTTTTAATCAACAATAAATCATTGCCTACGAAAAAACTATTCTGAGATGAGTTCTGTTGATGCTTTGTCAACAACGTATATGTCATATTATAGTAAAATAATTAATTAGGCTCTACATATTTTCTTTAATAATATTTTTTTAATGTTGTACCGATTTCCCAGGTTTTTCTACGTTTTCCTAGGTTTTTTCTCAGTTTTTCACATTTACTAAGAAACTCCGGAGAAAATCGGAAAAAGAAATCTTTAAAGTATATCCCTAGTCAAAATTTTCTTTAAAAAAATTACTATTTTTGAAAGTTGAAGCAAAATTGCTGGTATAAATGTCCACAGAAAAAAATAATATCGTAATATTCTACAAATATATTCAGTACATTAGTACATTTTCCCGTTTCTCCTCAATTTGTTTTTTTTCGGTTTTTCGTATTTGATGTGAAAACTCTTGAAAAAAACGAAAAATGGTCTCTTTAAAGGTACTTCCCCACACAGTTTTCTTTTTAGAAAAGTTGCTAGACGTAAAAATTGGAGCAATTATTCTGATAGAAAAAATGTCCACAAAAAAAAAAACCTATTTGTAAACTTTTTTTACCAACAATTTAGCTATGATTTATAATTATAGAATTTTTTTTTGAAAGGAAATGGCTGAGGTGGTTCATTAGGGAGGTTATTTTCTGATTTTTAAAATATTGTAGCCATTTTTGAGCTATATTTAGACATTTTCTATTGATGGGGTTAAATTTATTATTTTGATGGTTGCCAATTAAAAAGTTAACGTAATTTTTGTTCGGTGGGTATTCTGTGGGTAAAATTGTTAGTCCAAACATAAATGCTAGAAAATTTAACATGAGGTTCTTTTTTTTTCTCCGCTGAGAATTGTTTTTCTTCAGCAATGGCCAATCGTTGCGTACAAATAAAGGTTCATTAAATTTCCCCTATACCTTTCCAACTTCTCACCTACAACAGTGGAACACTCGTTGTGCGAAGAATGTCCATATCTTTTTTAAAGTTGAATTGAATGTTGAAATCAGATAGTGACTATCGTTCTTACGTTTTATGTTGTGTCCAAAATAAACTCCGAACCGTATGTATGTAAAACCATGTCAAGTACTCAACAAATTAAGGTCCATACAAGGGAATAGAGACAATCCCGAATTATTGGCGAGAGGTCCAGAAAAGATCATGGCCCCCGAGCCACCAGACTACCAAGGCCTCAGTTTTTGTCACAGTATATTCATTGTATATGCATTTAACCATTAACTTTGTACTTTGATACCTACCTAATTTAAATATTTTTTTCGTTGCCCGATAAAGAATTACTGATTATACGATTATTTGTATTATTTCATAGTAAAAACTACCAATAATTTTATAAAAAATAGTACACTAATGTACTTAAATGATACTTTTGACTTTTGAATTGAGATAATAAGAATAATTCTTATTTATTAATTCTTCAACATCAATATTTACAAGAAGTAGGAATACAAAGGAATAAATTATTGTTGGATTACCTCCAAAGCCAAAGGCTCTGCTAGAGGTGAGTGTTCGTGCGAGTACAATCAGATAAACATGACAAAATTACAAACAATGTTTCAAAATACTGAGAAAAGTTAAAATTAGAAAAGTTAATTGAATTAGTTTTAACTAAAATATAGAAATAATCAAAAAGTAATACATTACATTATTTAAATCAACAAACATAAGTTTAAATTAAAAAAAATGTATACACAATAAGCTTACTTAGCATTCAAATCATTTCGTATTGTTAGTTTTTTGATTTTATTATAAGTCCGGTAAACTTTTATTTTTTTATATTTATAATAATTTTAATTATATGTAAAGGATATATTAACATTGTTTTATATTTATTTATAGAATTTTATGAACATTTCAATAATATAAATATTTTATATAAATCTACAAACCTCGATTTTTTGTAGTTGAATTCCATGCTTGATGATAACTAATTTACACAACTATATGGTAAAAAAATCATCAACGTTTTCATAAATCTACCGAGGTAACATTTGTGAATCATTGTCATTACCACTCATAATAATAAAATATGATTTTATGCCCAAAACATTTTTTAAGCAAAAAATGAGGATTTATTACTTTACATGTATTGGAATAGCTCCGTAAAAAATATCTTACAAACTGATGAATCATTAATGATCTAATGATTTAATATATAAAATCTATGAAATAAAAGTTCCAGATAAAAATGTTTAAGAAAAAAAAAACCAAAAGGCAATTTCACATAATTAAAATTACTTAAACTATGTGATATAAAATCAGGAAAAAAAATACATCTATATATATATATATATATATATATATATAATTCTGATTTGATATTTATATTTTTTAAATATTAAAACGATTTTCGATAATATACCTTGAAAAAAACCTAAATTATTTGAATCCAAATTTTACAATTTATGGGTGTTCCAATGTCATTATTCAGTAGACTATCTACTGTATACTTAACCTATGACGCCACTTAATAATAAAACACTTAATACGAAGGATTATGTTATCTCGATGTTTCTATGTTATCAAATATTATAGTTATAACTTACCAATACATGATCCATATACATTCGACTTCTGTTTGTCACTACACCATTTTTCACATTTTTCGCAGCAAAATGTTGCGTCACTTATTTCATTTTTTTCTATGGCGTCATTCAACTTTTTCGTGTAAGGACAGCAATCTGAAATAGATAATAGTAATAGTTTTGTCATATGTTGGTGTACTTATATTATAGATGGAATACTTAAGAGGAAGCATCGCAGAGAGGGAAATATATCTTCTCGTTGACGTTTTTTTAGTTTTACCTAGCTATCAAATAAGATATAACTACTTATATTTAAATTTATGTTTCATTAATTATAGATAGACATAAAATGTATTGTTTAAAACGAAACTAATCCAAATCACTGTTCTTTTAATGGGTTTTACGTTAGTTATTAAGTAGTACGAAAATTAATAATGTTTGGTCATATTGTTTAATAAACAATATGTGTATAGTATGTTTTTATAAGGACGTACCCTTGCAGATTTTAAACACTTTTGATTGTTCGACCGCAGGTAGCCAGTTTTTGCATGCTCTACACGAAAACATACCCTTCCTGAAATTGTATAGACGTGATGTTAAATCAGTTAGGCGTGTTTGCGCATACGAAAGTTTAAATTAGATACATACGCCTTATTGGAGCCTGAGTCCTTTATTGATGTAGATAATGTCTGATTATCTTGTGCGTTACCGTCCAATTTTAATGAGGGTGGGCAGCAATCTGAAATAGAAAAAATTGCGTGTAGTTGTAAAGTTAATGAATAAACTCCTCAAAAATATATAATAAAATTTAAAATGCACAAATTTTTGTTTTTTTGTACCAAAAATCCTGTACAATTTACAGTGATAATATATCAANTTAACATTCGAGTTTTGTGCCTCGACGCACCATTTTTGACATACTTTGCAACAGAATGTTGCAGTATTTATCTGATTTTTTGTGGCGATCTCATACGTTTTTTCCGTATGCGGGCAGCAGTCTGAAATAGAATAGATTGCGGTTCATTGATGCATTGATGTTTATGTTTGTTTTTAATCTATGACGCTACTTAATAATATATCACTTTATACGATGGATCATGTTTTTTCGATGTTTCTATGTTATCATATATTAAAGTTATAACTTACCAATACATGATCCATATACATTCGACTTCTGTTTGTCACTACACCATTTTTCACATTTTTCGCAGCAAAATGTTGCGTCACTTATTTCATTTTTTTCTATGGCGTCATTCAACTTTTTCGTGTAAGGACAGCAATCTGAGATATATAATAGTAATAGTTATGTCATATATTGGTGTACTTATATTATATGTGGAACAATTAAGAGGGAAAATCGCAGAGAGGGATATATATCTTCTCGTTGACGTTTTTTTAGTTTTACCTAGCTATCAAATAAGATATAACTACTTATATTTAAATTTATGTTTCATTAATTATAGATAGACATAAAATGTATTGTTTAAAACGAAACTAATCCAAATCACTGTTCTTTTAATGGGTTTTACGTTAGTTATTAAGTAGTACGAAAATTAATAATGTTTGGTCATATTGTTTAATAAATTACTTACAAGATTATGTTTCTATCCAAAAATGATTAATTTTTATTTTTTTACAGCAATTATATGAAATACAATACAGCATAACTATTTCTACACTGTATTGTACTTGTCTAGCCTAAATAAACTTCAAAATACGCCATGGAATATTTTTAATAATTTTTGTAAAGATATAATTTTTCCGGTTTGTGTGTATACTATGTTTAAAAAAGGACGTACCCTTGCAGATTTTAAACACTTTTGATTGTTCGATCGCAGGTAGCCAGTTTTTGCATGCTCTACACGAAAACATACCCTTTCTGAAATTGTATAGACGTGATGTTAAATCAGTTAGGCGTGTTTGCGCATACGAAAGTTTAAATTAGATACTTACGCCTTATTAGAGCTCGAGTCCTTTTTTAATGTAGATAATGTCTGATTATCCTGTGCGTTACCGTCCAATTTTAATGAGGGTGGGCAGCAATCTGAAATAGAAAAAATTGCGTGTAGTTGTAAAGTTAATGAATAAACTCCTCAAAAATATATAATAAAATTTAAAATTTACAAATTTTTTTTTTTTGTACCAAAAATCCTGTAAAATTTACAGTGATAATATATTAATCATAAATAATACCAGTCTCTCCTAAAGCGATATCAAAATATGCTACTGAATAATATAACCCTTAGTTTTAATGAAAATAATTTTTTTACTGTAATTTACAACTGCTTTTTAATTTCGTACTTGTATTATAACCTCACAGAAATGGTCAACTCTTTCTTTAAAGAAATCTTTTAAAAAAAATTACGCATATTCCAACCATGATTATGAATTTTAAAGATGGCTATTTGATAATTGCCATCTTTACAACAATCGACCGATCTTAGTGGTCACAATGATAATTTCAACTTAAATAAGCTCAAAAAATTACTTTTGAAGAATTTGAATTGGCCCTAAGATTCATCAAAATCCTGGTCCCGGTGGAATCCTAAATTCCAACAATAAAAACCTGTACCCAAACTTTATAAATTTTCTACTCGACGTATTTAACACTATATGAAATAATACCATGTTCCTTAATTACTGGACACACAAGTACAATATTTTTATCTGTAAAATCAATAAAAACAAATATCTTGTAAAAATCGGTCGTCCCATCACTCGCCCTAATACCTTAAGTTAGTTACTGGAATTAATTTAGCCACGACTTATTCGGTTTCTTGAAAAAATAAATTATATCATTCCCGAACAATATCTCTTTTGATATAACGGATGCACATTAAACTACCTTTTAAGCATTATATATAAAATTATCACGGCTATGCACATTAAACAAAGTTTAGGTATAATCAGTTTTGACATTGCTAAGATCTACGACAGTACCTGGAGGTTTACAATAAATAACATATCACACAAAAAAGTCTGCTAAAGTAACCTGCCCAAATTTATCCAAAATCTGTTACTTATACGTAATTTTAAAGTCGAATCAGCAAACTACATCTCCGATGTGTTTCAAAACGAACATTGTGCATTAGGGAATTATCTTTATCAGTAACACTTTTCTTAATTGTTATCAACGATAATTCCACACACATACTAAAGCCTATCATACCTTTTCTAAATACGGATGACCTATCTATCCTAGGTCGCAGTTAAAATCACCAATTTTTTACTTTTATTAAATGACACTTTATATGAGTCAATTAAATTGGTCACATAAATAAGGCTTCAGATTGGTTGCGTAAATAATATCTTACAAACTGATGAATCATTAATGATCTAATGATTTAATATATAAAATCTATGAAATAAAAGTTCCAGATAAAAATTTTTAAGAAAAAAAAACCAAAAGGAAATTTCTTATAATTAAAATTACTTAACCTATATGATATAGAATCAATATAAAAGATACATATATATATATATATGTATATAATTCTGATTTGATATTTATATTTTTTAAATATAAAAACAATTTTCGATAATATACCTTGAAAAAAAACTAAATTATTTGAATCCAAATTTTACAATTTATGGGTGTTCCAATTTTACTATTCAGTAGACTATCTACTGTATACTTAACCTATGACGCCACTTAATAATATAACACTTAATACGAAGGATTATGTTGTCTCGATGTTTCTATGTTATCATATATTATAGTTATAACTTACCAATACATGATCCATATACATTCGACTTCTGTTTGTCACTACACCATTTTTCACATTTTTCGCAGCAAAATGTTGCGTCACTTATTTCATTTTTTTCTATGGCGTCATTCAACTTTTTCGTGTAAGGACAGCAATCTGAGATATATAATAGTAATAGTTTTGTCATATGTTGGTGTACATATATTATAGATGGAATACTTAAGAGGGAGAATCGCAGAGAGGGAAATATATCTTCTCCTTGACGTTTTTTTAGTTTTATCTAGCTATCAAATAAGATATAACTACTTATATTTATATTTAAGTTTCATTACTTTTAAACCAGACACTACACAATGTATGTTTTTTTTTTATCTATTTATTTTAGTATAATATTAAGAAATTCTGATCGTTGATAGGTATAAGTATTTCGGTTTATAACGAAACTAACCCAAATCACTGTTCTTTTAATGGGTTTTACGTTAGTTATTAAGTAGTACGAAAATTAATAATGTTTGGTCATATTGTTTAATAAACAATATGTGTGTGCTATGTTATTATAAGGACGTACCCTTGCAGATTTTAAACACTTTTGATTGTTCGATCGCAGGTAGCCAGTTTTTGCATGATCTACACGAAAACATACCCTTTCTGAAATTGTAAAGACGTGATGTTTAATCAGTTAGGCGTGTTTGCTCATACAAAGTTTAAATTAGATACTTACGTCTTATTAGAGCTTGAGTCCTTTATTGATGTAGATAATGTCTGATTATCCTGTGCGTTACCGTCCAATTTTAATGAGGGTGGGCAGCAATCTGAAATAGAAAAAATTGCGTGTAGTTGTAAAATTAATGAATAAACTCTTCAAAAATATATAATAAAATTTAAAATGCACAAATTTCCGATTTTTTGTACCAAATATACTAAATACATCACAGCGATAATATTTCAATATTAAATCATTCCGGTTGCCCGAAAAGCGACTTCAAAATACGCCACTGAATATAATAAATCCATATGTAAAGGAAAAGGATTGCCCGAAAACCTTATATTATTAATTACAATAGAAAATAACTTACCCGTGCATGTTCCATTAACATTCGAGTTTTGTGCCTCGATACACCATTTTTGACATACNAAAAAATACATCTATATATATATATATATATATATATATATAATTCTGATTTGATATTTATATTTTTTAAATATTAAAACGATTTTCGATAATATACCTTGAAAAAAACCTAAATTATTTGAATCCAAATTTTACAATTTATGGGTGTTCCAATGTCATTATTCAGTAGACTATCTACTGTATACTTAACCTATGACGCCACTTAATAATAAAACACTTAATACGAAGGATTATGTTATCTCGATGTTTCTATGTTATCAAATATTATAGTTATAACTTACCAATACATGATCCATATACATTCGACTTCTGTTTGTCACTACACCATTTTTCACATTTTTCGCAGCAAAATGTTGCGTCACTTATTTCATTTTTTTCTATGGCGTCATTCAACTTTTTCGTGTATGGACAGCAATCTGAAATAGATAATAGTAATAGTTTTGTCATATGTTGGTGTACTTATATTATAGATGGAATACTTAAGAGGAAGCATCGCAGAGAGGGAAATATATCTTCTCGTTGACGTTTTTTTAGTTTTACCTAGCTATCAAATAAGATATAACTACTTATATTTAAATTTATGTTTCATTAATTATAGATAGACATAAAATGTATTGTTTAAAACGAAACTAATCCAAATCACTGTTCTTTTAATGGGTTTTACGTTAGTTATTAAGTAGTACGAAAATTAATAATGTTTGGTCATATTGTTTAATAAATTACTTACAAGATTATGTTTCTATCCAAAAATGATTAATTTTTATTTTTTTACAGCAATTATATGAAATACAATACAGCATAACTATTTCTACACTGTATTGTACTTGTCTAGCCTAAATAAACTTCAAAATACGCCATGGAATATTTTTAATAATTTTTATAAAGATATAATTTTTCCGGTTTGTGTGTATACTATGTTTAAAAAAGGACGTACCCTTGCAGATTTTAAACACTTTTGATTGTTCGACCGCAGGTAGCCAGTTTTTGCATGCTCTACACGAAAACATACCCTTTCTGAAATTGTATAGACGTGATGTTAAATCAGTTAGGCGTGTTTGCGCGTACGAAAGTTTAAATTAGATACTTACGCCTTATTAGAGCTCGAGTCCTTTTTTAATGTAGATAATGTCTGATTATCCTGTGCATTACCGTCAAATTTTAATGAGGGTGGGCAGCAATCTGAAATAGAAAAAAATGCGTGTAGTTGTAAAATTAATGAACTAACTCCTCAAAAATATATAATAATATTTAAAATGCACAAATTTCTGTTTTTTTGTACCAAATATACTAAATACATCACAGCGATAGTATTTAAATATTAAATCATACCGGTTACAAGAAAAGCGACTTCAAAATACGCCACTGAATATAATAAAACATTATGTNAAAATTTAAAATGCACAAATTTCTGATTTTTTGTACCAAATATAATAAATACATCACAACGATAATATTTCAATATTAAATCATATCGGATACCCGAAAAGTGACTTCAAAATACGCCACTGAATATAATAAATCATTGTGTAAAGGAAAAGGATTGTCCGAAGACCCTATATTATTAATATTAATAGAAATTAACTTACCCGTGCATGTTCCATTAACATTCGAGTTTTGTGCCTCAACGCACCATTTTTGACATGCTTTGCAACAGAATGTTGCAGTATTTATCAGATTTTTTGTGGCGATCTCATACGTTTTTTCCGTATGCGGGCAGCAGTCTGAAATAGAATAGATTGCGGTGCATTGATGCATTAATGTTTATGTTTTTATTTAATGTATGAAGCCACTTAATAATATATCACTTTATACGATGGATCATGTTTTCTCGATGTTTCTATGTTATCATATATTAAAGTTATAACTTACCAATACATGATCCATATACATTCGACTTCTGTTTGTCACTACACCATTTTTCACATTTTTCGCAGCAAAATGTTGCGTCACTTATTTCATTTTTTTCTATGGCGTCATTCAACTTTTTCGTGTATGGACAGCAATCTGAAATAGATAATAGTAATAGTTTTGTCATATGTTGGTGTACTTATATTATAGATGGAATACTTAAGAGGGAGAATCGCAGAGAGGGATATATATCTTCTCGTTGACGTTTTTTTAGTTTTATCTAGCTATCAAATAAGATATAACTACTTATATTTAAATTGAAGTTTCATTACTTTTAAACTAGACACTACACAAAGTATGTTTTTTTTTATCTATTTATTCCAGTATAATATTAAGAAATCCTGATCGTTGATAGGTATTAATATTTTGGTTTATAACGAAATTAATCCACATCACTATTCTTTTGATGGATTTTACGTTAGTTCTTAAGTAGTACGTAAATTGATAATGGTCTGTCATATTGTGTAGTAAATTACTTACACGAATATATTATTTAGTTAAAAATGTTTAAGTTTTCTTTTTTTACTGCAGTTATATGAAATACAATACATCAAAACCATTTCAATACTATGTTATACTTGTCTGGCCTAAATAAACTACAACATACGCCATTGACTATTATAATAGTTTATATAAAGAAAAATGTTTTCCCGTTGTGTGTATATTATATTTTAATAAGGACGTACCGTTACATGTTTTAAACACTTTAGATAGTTCGACCGCAGGTAGCCATTTTTTGCATGTTCTACACGAAAACATACCCGGTCTGAAATTGTATAGACGTGTTGTAAATATCGGTTATGCGTATTTGTATATTTATAATAAAATTTGTGTTAGGTACTTACGCCATCTTTAGACTCGGGTCCTTCCCTAATGTAAGTATTCAATATGGTTAACAAAATTATCAATAAACAACGTTCAAAAAATACGAAAAGAAAAACAAAAATAAAACTGAGAATCGTTAAATAACGTAAGGAAAACAAGTTAAATATAAAGAATTAGATATATTATGTGGAACAATATGTGTTCAGGTATATTAATTTGTATGCGGTTATGGTAAACGGAAAAAAAAAGAATATATGCTATTTCGAAAACAACAAAATCAAGCTTATTGAATTGTTGTCGGTCGGCTATGGGTTCGTCTGTGATTATGTTATTTGTATAACTAGGTTACGTATTTAGCCAACACGAGAATAATAATTGTTTTTTTAAAATAATATTACATTTTTTCGCCGCGAATAGGCCGAGTATATTTCAAGGACGATTCCATTGTTCGAATGCGCATACAGTGAGGTCCATTGGACACTGTATTATAAGAATATAGTTACCGGTTGATATACACTATGGAAAATAAATAATAAATTATCGAATTGATGGACTCCGTAACGAAACGTTTTATTTTATACAATAAATACACTCGACGGTAACTCTGAAATGTTTTTAAGGTAAACGGGAAAATTTGGCTTATCTGATAGTGGAGCTTTTATTTTTCAAGAGAGAAATGAACATGCAGCGGACATTAGCTAGAAACGTCCCGTGTGTCCGGATTAAGAATTTTTTTTTTTTTTTTGAAGTACAAAAGTAAACATAATGACAACTTTTAAGTACCGGTGGTGATGAAATCAACCGTACCTAACCCCGGCATAAAAGAAAACAATTATTACTTCAATTTTTAAAATGTATTATAGATTTATCGATTATACCAGGTAAATGTGATTCCGGCTACAATAAATAAAACGATAAGCCATTTATCGAATTCGTAATGCAGTTTTATTTTTAACGTTAAAAATGTTTCGGGTTATTTTTTAATCTTTCATTTTATTTAAGTGCATTAAATTGTATAAATGTTTAAGGCATTTTTCCATGTTTCAGAGCATTTAAATCCGCACTCTAATAATATAGCTATATCAAGGTCGGCTAGTGTGGAGTATGATAATAATCGGTCGCATTGGCGTATTTAAAATATATGCGTTTCGCGGCGAAACAATTTTACAAACAGCTCCTACCCTCCCAATTATTTTCGCCCATTACTCTCTACAACCTCAAACTTTCCCTCTCCATCCTCGATTACTGAAAAATGTGCCCTTTGTTTGTTTTGAACAACATTTTAAAAATGTATATCCTATGGTTTAACAATTAGCAATTTCTATGTGTTTTGTTCGAATAAAAAATCATACCAAATAATGGCATGTATAAATTGTATACGTTATCAGTCGTTTCACTCGTATCACATTCAATTCAAAATGGTTTTGATACGATTAAATAATCCGTTATCGGTTATCATTTGTTATTTGCAGGGTTTACAAAGTGTAGACAACGCGATGTGGATAAAAGTCAATGCAAAAGGCGCCCGTATATCCGACATAAAATCACTCGTGGTTCCATTATGCAACAGCGCTTTCAACAATAACCAGCCATCACTTTTAAAAATAAAAACATAAATTACAATCAATCGATTAACCAATGACTCTATAAAGTGTTTTATACATTTTGCGATAAAAAGAAAAATGAATACCCTCGTTACCGCCCATAAAACCGATAAAATTTTGCCGCCGTGGTCGTTCGCCCATTTCACCGTCTCTCCAAACCGATTGGCCGAGTCGGTACGGCCGAAAGACTCGCGAAAATACGGATCTGTCGGTGAAAATAATTTACTCGGCCGTGGTTTAGCGTTTTCGGCTGCATCTGAGTACTGTCCCAACAACCTTTTTTCATGCCGATTCCGTTCATAATAAAAAGAAGCTTAACCGAAAACATTACGATGTTACCATATAAATGCAATAAAAAAAAAAATAATAATAATAAATCCGGACACTGATACGCACGAATACGTGCCTGGAAAGTTCAATAGTCAAACGGTATTATTACATTCGATTATTTAGTGCGATACAACCGCGGAAAGCTAAACGGTATAAAATCGTTATCGTTGTCGTAAATTTTACGCTTTCTGCGCATGTGTGTATACGTATTAATATAGCGTGGAAAACGCAAAAAAAAAAGGGACAGGAACTCGTACGGCCGAATACGCTGCCCGGTACGGAATTAGTACGCGGGTTTCGAAAACCCGGGACGGGACTGTGGCGCGTCGTTGAATTCAAATTTCGCGACCCGGGACGGAGCTCGGGCCGCGGCCGCGCGTTCTCGCGCCACGGTTTTCATAGGTCGCCGGGCACACGCGATCGCCCGCCGCGCAGCCGCCGCCGATCGCGCGCGCCCGCTATCGGGAGATTTTCGCGTGCGCGGCGCGGACCACCCGCGCGTATTACGCGTCGCGAACGCACGGCACGTTTTACATATTACCGCGGTATCCCGGCCTTGCGTACGCGACAATAACAATACGGTAATTTATGTAATATCGCGTACGATAAGAAAAACGAACAAAATGAAACCGGGCGAGGAGTCGCGTGGGCATTCCGCGACGCGCTAAAGGGAGGAGAGAGAGAGAGAGAGAGAGACAGAGACAGAGACAGAGAGAAAAGAGCGAAATAAAATTCCTCGTCCGTTCGGATGCGGCGTCCGCTCTCCGCTCTCGGCTGACCGTCGCCGGTAAAAATATCATACACCGTACATAACATAAAAATAATAATATGTGTACACAGAGGTATACGAGCGCGCGTATAAAAATAATAACGTATGCGGCCGGAGAACGGGAACAACAATGAAATAATAAAACGCGCGCGCGCGCGCCCCGCGTTCGAGTTCCCACAGATCGCGGCGGCGTCGTCGCCGTACAGTACACGTACCCCGCGTCATAACGTCGTCGTCGCGGCGTTCGCCGTTTGCCCGTCCGATTTCCGATCCGCCTTCGATCGTCCTTTTCTTTTTTTTTTTTGTCCACCCGTACGCGCGGACGTATACGTTTCTCTCTCTCGGCCCGCGTCTCTCTCTCAACCGCGGCCCCGCGATAATTTATCGACGGCGCATAAATCATCATGGCCCGCGGCCCGCGCCTATGTTATTGTTGTACCGCGGGGGTACCGGTATGTCTACCGATATTACAACATCACCGCGCGCTTTTTATAGTACGCCCGGCGAGTATTATTATTGTTATTGTTTTTTTTTTTTTCTACAGAGATACGGTATAATAATAACAGCGACGATAACGGCGCGTGTCGCACGGACGCGCTATCCGATTTTCCGCCGTGACGGTCTCCGCACGTCGCGGCCGCCGCGAGAATCTCCCCCCCCCTCCCCTCGCCGGAGTGGACAGCGCGGGGACACCGACGACGGGATCGGATAATACGCGTGAGAACGTCGCGAAAACCTCCGCGCGAATAAGCACGGCGCACCGTACAGACACGCTTTTAATTTTCGTTCGACACGACGTTCGTCCCGGCCGGTCCTCCGCCCGCGCGAATACATCCGCGACGCGCGAATCGCCCGCGTTCGCCGGCCGGATCGGATTGCCCGCGTATTGTTTACCGCGGTTATTGTTGCGCGCCGCGGTTTTTCCCGGCACGACGATAATGCGCCGGTCGATTTACGAACGCGGTCGGACACCGCGCGCATAAACCGTACGGCCGAGCAGTGTACGCGCGTGGTCCCGTCGCGCGCGCGGCAATATTATTGCCATCGAGTACCGCGCGATTGCGATCAGACGACGGAACAGTTGTCCGCGTGCCCGCGAAAATCGGCGTTCCGCTCGGACGTGGCGCGTGATGCGCCGAGTACGCATTAGAAGGATATTGTCGCGCAGTCGAACGAATGACGTCGCCGCGCGGGACACATTGGAATTTGTTTTCCGGAACATGTTTTCAGAAACGAGCAGCTCTACGAGATTATGTTCACGTTAATTTTTCGTCATTATTATTTTCGGGGGGGGGNGGGGGGGGGGTGGGGCGAAACGACCGAAAGCGCAAAAGTCCACACACGGACGGAGTATTTGTTAAGATTAGTTTTAGTGTTGACATTTTTTTTTACTTCTGTCAAGCCATCGACGAGATATTCCGCTATTGAGTTTGGGTTGGAGGAGAGTGGTGGTGCATTATGAACGCGCCGCGCGCCGTACAGCCACACGCATGAGATACTCCACTACTCTCAGTGCCTGATTAACCGTATGGACTGAAAAGGCTGCAGCCCAGAGCACCGTTAAATGATGGGGAGGGGGCGCCACGAGAAAATATTTTTTTTACCTTTGTCCGACGGCGCGGGTATAATTGTAACTTTTGAATTTTTAAATTGCTATAACATTTAGGCTTTAAGTTGTAGTTACCTGCAATTTTGTGATATCTCTACAATCTTAATTGTATGCGTGTTCTCTAATATTGAGAAAAAAATATTATTCCCTTCTCGAGCTATGAAGTCGACTTGTACATAGAATCTTTAAACCCGTTAAAGGCAAAATTGTACCCATGTGTATTCATTATATGGGAGTGGAGCAAAAAAGAGTGACAAATATCTTTTTGAATACGATTTTGGTTAATTAAAACAATAAATACAAAACACTTTGGTTATATAAATTAACCCCAGCCTACTGGTGGCAAATCAATTAATCAGACCCTGTCTACTCTCCTTCGACCCATACTTAAAAGTGGATTGACGGAAATCAAACACTTCAGCACTAAAATGTATTATAACCAATTATATTGCGTCTGTTCGTGGAACTGTCATTATTGTAGGTTGCTATTTGTAAGTTAAAAGTAGGTAGTGGTTTTACTCCTAAAAATAAGGGTGACAAAAAATAAAAAGTTAATACCTTCCGAGATAATGTGTGTGTCCGCTTAAATGAATCGCCTGGTAAAAATAAAGACATTCACGAT